TGGCCACTGCTGAGTTTTCCAAATTTGCTGGCATATTGAGTGCAGCACTTTCACAGCATCATCTTTCAGGATTTTAAATAGCTCAACTGGAATTCCATCACTTCCACTAGCTTTGCTCATAGTGATGCTTCCTAAGGTCCATTTGACTTCGGACTCCAGGATATCTTAACTTTTAGGTTGTGCACTTTTTTCACTTGACAGCAACAAGCTTGTTTGTTGTTGAATTTCCTCCTAGCATGCTTACATTTCAGCTTACTGTTGTTGTTAACTCAGTTACTATTTGTCCATTTAATTTCTCTCATATGAAATTTTGTTGACATCCTCTTCTCTCATATATTTCTGTTCTTTTTATCCTGTTTTTGTCTTTTCAATTCTTTTATTGTTATTATAGTAGAGTTTCCAGAGGAATCAAATATATTTCCTGTTTATCCATGTTTTAATTGGAAGTCTTATTGCAGTGGTACATATGTTTTATATTTTACTAAGTATTGTGAAATTGCTTTACAAAATGCTGCACTGATATGTGTTTCTTTTTCAGCCTATCCATAGTGATGATACCTTCTAGAAATGGCAGAGGGCACTCCTCTGGGCTACTTGTGGCAAGCCTCGCAGACATTTCCCCAACTGAAGCCAATGCTGAGACTGTACCAGGGCTTGTGATTCTTATGATTGCAAGACATAGCTTAGCAACCACTGTAAGAGAACTTTGAAAAAGCAAGGTTTGTTGCTCTTATGTCCTGGAGGGTACAAGCCATGCCCTGGACCAGTTAGCGAAGTCCTGGGGGTAGGGAGAGAGAGAATGAATGTATGGGTCTGGGAGTCTCTCTGCTTTTATTGGGATTGATGAGGTGGTGCATGGGGCTTTGAGGGTTCACTCCTTATTTGGTGAAATTAAAACAGAAGGGCAGGAATTAAAGCACAGGAAGGGAAAAGCAAGCAGTGGGTCAAAGAGTCAGTTATCTAGGTCCCCCAGAACCTTCCAGAAAGGGGTACATGTGGGTGGGGCAGCCTGCCTCTTTATCTAGTGGTGTAGATGGCAATGTGCTTTTTTCTGACATGGATGTCTTTGAAATGGGTGCCTCAGCAATCGAAGACTTAATGTTAGGCATTAGCATTACAATAAAAAGCTACCTGCACTACAGGGATCCAACTAATAGTTGAAACTTCCCCAAACCCACTTAATAAGTCATCTGTCCTTTCCCAGGGAAACTGCCTCTATTTCTATTGTGTTCACTTACCCATTCAACTGGTTAGTTACTGCTTCGCTACTATTACTACACGAATAACCTAGAATAGTGCCCTAAAGAGTCTCCTGAGACACCTGTATGAGGGTTAAGAAGCAACAGTTAGAACCAAACACTGAACAGACTGGTTCAACATTGGGAGAGGAGTATGTGAAGGCTGTATACTGTCACCCTGCTTATTAAATTATGTGCAGAGGGCATCATGTGAAATGCCGTACTGGGTGAATCACAAGCTAGAATCAAGATTGCTGGCAGAAATAACAACCTCAGATATGCAGAGGATACCACCCTAGTGGCAGAAAGCAAAGAGGAACTAAAGAGCCTCTTGAGTGAAAGAGGAGAGTGAAGAAGCCAACTTGGAACTCAGATTCAAAAAACTCAGATCATGGCATCTGGTCCCATCACTTCATGGCCAATAGAATGGGAAAAAGTGTAAACAGTGGCAGATTTTCTTTTCTTGGACTCCAAAATCACTGTGGACAGGGACTGCAGNGCCAAGTTAAAAGGAAAAAAAAAGAAAAAGAAAAAGACACTTATTTTCCTGATAAAGACTGTGGGATATGTGTTTTGTAGTCACAGTTTGGTCATCTAGGCTCCTGGCCTCTGTCTGTTATAAGGACTAAATAAATAGTCTTTTTTATTTTTTTCTGGTAATTGCCTATATTGAAGTTGACTGATGAATTCTTTCCTGATCATAAAAGTTACTGTGTAGTGTTTATCAAATTGGATGATAACTTATCCTACAACAGAGAAGACTAGCTAGTTAATTAGAGAAATGTTGCCTGCATAACTTTCTCATCAGTACAGTCAACAACATCCTGCAACTTGCCTTTATCAGCCCTTGGCCAAAATAAGTACTGAGGAAGAAAAGACAAAAAAAAAAAAAAAAAAAAACCAAACCTGAAAGTATGCTTGGCTAGAACAAATATTACTCAATATAGACAAGTCTATGCAGAAATATTGTGCTGATCATTTATTTTATAGACTATCTTATAAAAAATGTATGTGTACACACACACACCCAGCAATGAACTAAATTTGATAGTGGGTTAAAATTTCATTCCTTTATCATAATTTGAGCAGAAGAGTTAATCTATGACATGGTTACAAGGTTACTCACACATACATACCAAGAGGGGCAGTTTTCCATGTAACTCTGGGAAATTTTAAAAATTTCTGGTTCAATACTTTTTAAATCCAAGTCAATGAGTTTCATCAAAATATCTAATATCGACCTCACTCACAAGCACTTAGTGAAAAGTGTCAAGAAAACACATCAAAGTAATGGGAAACTAACTTAAGGTTGTCTTATTCATTGTATATTTATTTATTGTCTGTTTCTCCCACTTAATTCACTGCTGTTATTCCAACATCTACAAGAATGCCTAGTAACAAATATACATGCAATACACAAACAAGTGCTTTTAACAAGATATTATTAAAGATGAGGAAGATATAAATTGATCCAAAATGGAAATTATTTACTCAAAAAGAAATATCTTGAATGAATAGATGCTATGATCAGATAAAGCTAAAATTCCACTACTGTATTGAAGCTAGGTTTCAAGTGACACTTAACAACTGAAAAAATGGTTGAAAAGGGAATAAAACTCTTTGAAATTTGGGCATGCCAAGCCCAAATCATTGAACTTTCAATTACAGATCCAACAAATATCTAGACACTGAATAGGAAAACTGTGTATGAAGACCTTGGTTCTAGCCACAAGTAGGTCACTCTAAGATTTTGGCCAAGGAGACATAATTTCCTTAATTATAAAATCGATAAGAATACCTGCCCTTGCCTTCTTTGCAAATTGTTGTAAGAATAAAGTACCTTTGAGATTTATATATTCTTATTCTTAAGTAATCTATTACAAGCAAAATGTCCTTATTACAATCAACACTGAAAATCAGAATGTCACTGTGGCAGGCATGGAGGTGAGCCCCTTGAATTGCTCTTGAAAGAACTTGCTGATCAAGAAGTTATTTGTTGGCCTCTAGTGATAGCACCTTCTGGGTCTCCCAGAGCATGTGAAGGTCGTGTTTTCCTGGGTAGCCTCTGGCCATGACTTAGCCTGGTGTTAACTAAGACATGGCCATTTCTGCACAACACGGGCTCTGTCCTCTGCGGGCAGTCTTTGCTCTGATCTTGCCGATGGGCTGACCAAGCCCCTTCCAGAGTTACATCTCAATCTGATGCTTTTTCTACCCATTCCTCTCTCCTTCCCTCATCCTCTCACAGGTGTCAGACTTCCATCATAGCCTGAAGTCTCTCCCACCTACCCCTGTTCCTTCTCTCAATCTTGGTCATTATCTCCAATTAATGTTTGCACATCTAACTCTTATCTTGGCCTCTGAGTTCTGGAAGACTCAACTAGCATGGTCCCTCAACCCCACTCCTTTGAAGCAACCTCTGTCACTATTAAGAAAGTTATTTCTTTCCAGAAATTTTCATATGTATAAGCATTGTGAGCGTTTTAAGATGGTTCTTCTTTTTCCTTTTAGCTTTATCACATATATTTATGAATAAGAAATAATAAACAATTTTTAAAAACATAAGCCTATACGATAGCAACAACCACCTGATGTTCTTGGACTTTAACAACAATACTTGAGGAGACTCCGAAACATTTTCTGAGAACACAGCATGGAATGGCATGGCCCCAGTAAGAAGTGAATCAGTTATCAGGAATCTTTTAATAGCTTTTCAGGGTGAGGGTAAGATTCTTTCTGCCTCCAAGCCTGTGTCCTCTCTGCAGAGTCTGTTTCCATGCTGCCCGGGAAATATCACTTGTATTGTTTCCTTTGATATCTCTTACCTTCTCATTCTTTCTGGCTTTACTTCTGCATTAAAGCTAAACTACAGTTACATAAATATTCCATGTATTTTACATGTAGGCTTTGAAAACTTTTAAAGTTCATGGTGTTCTATTAATTTCAATCACCACTCTTTTTTCTTTTTTTAAAATAAACTTTACACTGCTACAAGAGTTTATTTATATATTTTAACATGAGTAAATCTGCATTTTCAAATTGTCCCTGTCTCTTTTAAATTTTTCAACCTGATTATAAAATTGCCTAGGGCAGAGAAGCTACCTGGGGAGACATGCTTGGATGAAACCAGGCACAACGATAATAAAAATCTGCGATCTCTGATATTGAGTAACATCAGTGACGTCTTTGAGCCCATTTCTTCATCTGTGTTATGAAACAGGAATGAAATGTAATCCTTTTAATATTGCTGCTGCTGCTGCTAAGTCTCTTCAGTCGTGTCCGACTCTGTCGACCCCATAGACGGCATCCCACCAGGCTCCCCTGTCCCTGGGATTCTCCAGGCAAGGATTCTGGAGTGGGTTGCCATTTCCTTTAGTACTCAGAGGGGACTATATCATGATATGTACAAAGTTCCTGTAAGACACTGGCATTAATTTGAGAACAGTTCTTTCCCTTTGAATGGAAGTCTGCAATTGGAATTATAAAAATTCTACTTTCCCTCAGACTTGCCCTTAATCCCTTACCATGAATTTGTTCATTCCAGTGGGCTTAAAGCTACTTTAAAGAGAGTCGGCTGGTAATGGTACTGTGGTCGCTTCATACACGTATGAGTCAGTCACTCAGCTGTGTCCACCTCTTTGCGACCCCACGGACTGTAGCCTGCCAGGTTCCTATGTTTATGGAATTCTCCAAGCAAGAATACTGGAGCGGGTTGCCAATTTCCCCCTCCAGGGGATCTTCCTGACCCAGGGATCGAACCCATGTCTCCTGTGTCTCCCGCACTGCAGGAGGATTCTTTACCTGCCATGCTCTGCGGGAAGCCATTTCACACCATATTAAAACATTTCTGATTTCTGTCCTTCAAGTGGTGTTCACAAGTGATCTGTTTTTCCATACCACATCCTTCCCTATAATTAAATTTCTAGAATTACAGATACAGGAGAGCTAACATTCACCTACATCTTTAGCATAAGGAGTCACAAAGACATTCTGAATTCACAAGTCCAAACAGTTTTGAAATCAAGAGGACAGCACCAGGCACTAGAAGGATCATAGATTTGGGGACTCTCACCCAGACTTATCAAGTGCCAGTTGCAATCCCTGAAGCAATAGCTTCTTCAAACTGTGGCTGCTCATCTGTAACATGAGCATAATGACCTTGTTTGTAGTTCTTTTCTTTGGAAGATAATTTTTAAAAACCAGTTTTTTTTTAAATTTTTGCATCTTATACTTATTTCTTCTGTGGTGTGAGCTTTCAAAACCATGTTGATTTTCCAGTTTCCATTGTAGAATGTTTTTCTTTTCTGCAAAATCAAAGGAGTAATTCCTTGAAGCCACAGAAAATAATCTTTTTTGAAACAAAGGGAAGAAATGATAGAGGCACTGGATCCACTGATCTGAAGATGAAACAACAGACCAGGCTACCTAGGTGAGAAGTGTCTGTTGACAGGGAGGGCCTGAGTCAGGTAACACTGCTCCCTGTGGGTCCCAGTTTTATCTTTCCCGTCAATGAGTATAATAGGAAAATACTTGTAGTGTTCAATGATGGCTTCCACCGAGTCAAACTTCTGAAACACAGAAGAGAAAGTTAGTGAAAATTTAGGACCTTCGTGTGTGTAGGTTAAAGTACAGCCTAAGATGCTTTGTTTTACTTAGGAAAGAGGGTAACTCATTTGACTTTTTTTTTTTTTTTAGATTGTAAAGGTATATCAGGAAGTGATTTAAAAAAAATATTGGAGTATAGTTGATTTAGAATATAGTTGATTGGAGTATAGTAGATAAAGATCTTGATGCTGGGAAAGATTGAAAGCCAAAGGAGATGGGGGCAACAGAGGATGAAATGGCTAGATGTTATCTCTGACTCAATGGACATGAATCTGAGCAAACTCCAGGAGACACTGGAGGACAGAGGAGACTGGCGTGCTCTAGTCCATGGGGTTGCACAGAGTCGGACATGACTGAGCGACTGAATAATAACAATGAAAGCAACAAATAGTTGATTTACAATGCTGTGTTAGCTTCAGGCATACATCAAAGTGAATCAGTTATACATATACATATATCCATTATCCATTCTTTTAGATTATTTTCCCATATAGGTCATTACAGAGGATTGAGTAGAGTTCCCTGTGTGCTACAGTACATCCTTATTACTTATGTATTTTATATATAGTAGTGTGTATATGTCAACTCCAATCTCCCAGTTTATCCCTCCCCTCTCACATTTTCCCTCTGGAGAAAGTAGATTTTTTTTTTTAAGGATGTGGCAAAGAAGCTCTTGATCTGCCTGATAAATGGTAAGATCAAGATAAGGAGGGTGACCAGAAGTGAGCCCTCCACAGTTCTCGAAGCTTCCCACCCATGTACTGTTTGCCAGAACCAGGTCACAGTGGTCAGTTTCCGCTCTGTCGTTACGTGTTCCTACGGTAAGCAGTTCAGATGGGTTAATTACACTGTAGTCAGCCACGGAGACTCCCCGGTGCCTCCCTTACCTGTCCCTCAGCTGTGACAAGTTAAAATGTGGACGATCAAGTCTTGACCTCACTTTGTAAATTGATGGGAATGTCTGCAGTGGAGCCTCTCTCCTGTACACCCCTCTTCTTCTGATGCATTCTAGACTAATCAGGAAGAATACTGATGACCACAGGGCTTGGCCTGGTAGGTCTTGGCCAATTTAGTGTTCTTACCTGGATTTCTTATGCGATAAACAGGTAACAGCAGAATGTTACACTTTTACGTTTTCCAGAGATGTACCGATAAAGTGATGGGGTGACTTAATGGAAGGGAAGGTGGTTTTGAATATAGAGGATTCAGGAGGTGCTTTGTGGAAGATACAGACTTGAGATGGGCTATACAGGGTGGGTGAGTTAAGTGGACAAGGTGGTTTAAAGATACTAAGAGCAGAGGAAGAAGCGTGTGCAAAGACAGGTGTTGAGCACGTGTGAACACAGACAGGAATTCCTGCCTTTTGTAACTTTTTGTGAAGTGAGCAGGGCAGGAATGGACCTTCCCTGAAGAGCCAAGGAAACCAGCTCAGAGTGGGGAGCGACTTGCTCAGAAGTCACACAGTTGGGGGCAGGACCAGGAATGCAAACTGGTTTTTCTGGATGTGTATCAGTTTCTTCCCTGATGCAACTTTGCCTGTGGCCTGGAAACCCAGTGTTCCGACAGAGCTGGGTCCAGACGGTGCTGTGTGAAGGAGGGAGCTGTGTTTGGGGATGACTTTGATTCTCTTGGGCTTCTCTGGTGGTTCAGATGGTAAAGGATCTGCCTGCAATTTGGGAAATCCAGTTTCGATCCCTGTGTTGGGGAGATCTTCTGAAAAAAGGAATGGCTAAGCGATTCACACTTTTGATTCTCTGTAGTTTTATACACCCTCCCTCCCCACCCCGCCCCCCAACAGGAATGTTTGCAGGCCTGAGGGACATTCAAGAGGGAATGAGATTGTCAAGGTCTCTGTCCTCATGGAGACTCATGCATTGCATTCAGGTGGTGGCAGATGGAAAAGAATTCCCTCTCCAAATAGATAGTTTCATGTAGGGATAAAGTGCTGTGGAAATAATCTCCATACTTGAGTTTTTCTCAACATTACAAATCCATTACTTACATTCAAATTTTGTTGGGGATTGGTATAGACATCTAGTATTTTGGTTCCATATTATAAGAATATCTTGGCGTGAATACATTCTTATATCTTACATGTATTTATAGAGATAATCTATTCCCCTATTTTGGCTCTTTTTTCTCTGGAATTAATCTTTAGAGGGAAAAAATGCCTGCTTTGTAATCTATTTTCTCTAGGATAGTCCCCAAATAATGAATTCAATACTTATTATTTATAATCTACTACATGGATGGTATTTGATATGAAATTGTAATTTTAACAAGTAGTAGGAAGCAAGCTGGGCAGGCGTAATAAGTTATTCTGTCATATCTTATTACTGACTTCCAGAGATAGGCCAACAGCTGACATATTACTCTAAAGATAGTTTTTAGAAAGATTATAATTAAGCACTTAAAACTTTTATATTAAATTCCCTTTTTCAGGAGGACAGTAAATACCATCCTCATATTAGATATTAAAATTTGTTTAAACCTTTGGCAATTGCCCTAAATACCAACCATAGGCAATGTTTCTCTGCCAGAAAGTTTAACCATTCTGTTTGGATCCACACATGGGAATAGTAGAAGAAAAGAGAAAAAGAGGAAGAGACAGAGAGACCCAAAGAGAGAATGAAGAGAAACAGACCTGAGACGTGAATAATCAACTCATTGATTAATTACTTCTGTTTCTTAGTCTTTAAACTTTATCAGGTAAACGTCTATCATAATTTTCAGCAATTTATCACAAGCGTTTGCAGGACAAGGAAAGGTCTGATTGAGATCGCTTCTTTTTACGACTCCACAGAAATGTTGACAGAGGTGAGTTCTAAAGCTCGGCAGCAAGTAGAGTTCTGCAGGATGTTAACAAGTAGGTACCTCACTGGCTGGTCCAGGGCCATTGTTCTATCAGGTGCTAAATATTTCAAATCTTAGCCCTGCTTAGGTGTAGGCATTGATGAGCACAGATTAACAGAGTATTCCCCTGGATGGTAGAGACCCGCCTTCCTCTGCTCTCTGTCCCCAGAATGAAGCATCAGATCTAGCATAACGTAAGCATAAGATGAAGGTGTGGGCCAACACTGAACAAATGAGAGATGCGGACTGAAAAGTGGCCTCCACAAGATATCCTGTGTCCTAGTTCCTGGAATCTGTGAATATTTCAAGCAAAAGAATATTACTTTGCATGACAATAGTTGGGACTATGTTACGTACCTTGGTTGCAGAATTCTAGACTCTGGAACTTCGAAAGAATACATATTTGTTGTTTTTGCTACCAATTTTGTGGTCTTTTGTTACAGCAATCACAGGAAGCTCTCGGTGCTCCCTAAATCTAAATTCAGACATGAATTTCTAGTCACATGGCTAACAGAATGACTCAACTTTATAGTATGCTGCAGCTTGGACCTTCCTAGGCTCATTCTTTGCAGGCCTATGTGGATTTGCTCACCTTCTGTGCTTGTGACGATGTTGACACGCCGTGCCTTCCCAGGGGACCAGACCAGGCTGCTGCAACTCTTATGGCCCTTTGTGAGCTTTTCATTCAAACCCAGGGCACACAGACCCAGTGCAAGGACTTTGGGGGATCATTTAAGGTGGAAGCGGTACTTACTAACCACCTGCCTCCCTCTGTGTGTCTAGAATCCTGTTTACATCATCTCATCTTACTTTCAAAATAGCTCTTGTGTTAGAGGTGTTCCTGCACTGTATGCACAGTTAAATTCTAAAGTTTGCAAAACAGCCAACAAGCCACAGGAAATCAAAATGATCCTTGAAAACCCTGTGCCTCATTACGGTTCTCCTGCAGAGTCAGCTGAGATGCTACTTTATTCAAGCACCGGATAAAATAGCTAGTAGCTGATTTTCATTGAGCAAAGCCTTGCTGCAGGAAATTCTTTCATCTTTTCTTAGCAATGGGAGATTCTTCCTCCTAAAGGCAAAGGGTTCAAACAGAACGATGAAAAGTGTGGTAGAACTGAGAGCCATCTAGGTCACCCCCCTCTACACCAGGGCATAGCTCATTCAGAAGAGAGGCAGGAAGAATCGCCTGTGAATTGTGATTCTTCACCCAGCGTCTGGCTCACACTAAGCTCCAGGTAGGTGTTAACTGATTTTCAACTGAAGTTCTAGGTTATTTTCAAATGGATTGGGGATCATTTGCATTTGTTTGATGCTGTCTGAGGCTATGTGAGAAAGGCAATATTTTTGCAGACTATATTGAACCCCAGCTGTGTCTGTGGGCCCTGGTTCCCAGGTGGTTCAGTGGTAAAGAATCTGCCTGCCAAATGCAGGAGATATGGATTTGATCCCTGGGTGGGGAAGATCCCCTGGAGAAGGAAGTGGCAACACACTCCAGTATTCTTGCCTGGAGACTCCCTTGGATGGAGGAGCCTGAAGGGCTCCAGTCCGTGGGGTTGAAAAGAGTAGGACAGTGACTGTGGCACGCACATGTCTGTGGGTCAGTGACTTTGCATTTCTGTGCCTCAGTTTCACTGTCAGCTAGATGGTGATATTGATAGCACCTACTTTAAGGGTTGCTATGAGGATCAAATCAATCAAGTTAATTAATAATCATTAACTGCACAGTATAGTGTCTCTGCGTAATAAATGATGTAAGTGTGAAATAAACATGAAAAGGAGACTCTTGCATGGGAGATGCATGAGAGGAGAAACCTCCATAATAACACAAAAAGAGTCCTCTTAAGCATTTGTATTTTTTTAGGTTATACAAATGAAAATTTATATAAATTGAGAAAAAAATCTCAAAATATAAGATTTTTAGGCCTAAAAGTACTACAAGTATCGTAAAAATCTGGGAAAATGATATGCTGATTTTATTTAATTATTTTTCATTGAAGTATAGTTGATTTACAATGTTTCAGGTATACAGAAAAGTGAGTCAGTTATACTGGCTTGGCCAAAAAATTGAGGTTTTTCCATACCATCTACAGAAAAACCCAAATGAAAT